AGTATGACTTATGTATATTTATTTGTAATACATGTATTCAGTATTAATATATCAAGTGCATCATAAAACATACACACAATAGAAGTTATAAAAGAATGAGATGAAGATGAGAGAAGAAAATATCTTGCTAATCATGATGATATCATACTCTATCAATAGCTAATATCTCACAGCAAAATATATGCTCAGATCAGAATTCATCATTAATGATAGTTCATAGAAATCCAAATTGCAAGTAGTCTTGAATAACTGTAAATGTTTTTGACCTGTTTCTTGTCAGATCCAATTAGACTGTCATTGTTTTCACGTCTCAGTATGGCTGGCAAAAAACTCTAAGAACTGAAAGTGGCAGATTTGATCTTGATTTTCACCTGTGAGTGCATTATTGGATTTATCTCAATCTTTGACTTCTTTGAAGGAATCTTTTAAGCCACTTGTTTTCCAAATAAGAGAGTTAATTGGTTAAAACCAGGCAAGACACTATGTGGAAGGTGTAAGCTTCAGGCAATGTCAACACCTTGAAATCAGTGAAAGAACCAGAGGGGGGGGGCGCCACGGTCACCCCACTGCCTGAGGCTCTTCAGTGGAGTACTCCTCAGATACAACACTGGGCACGTGAGCTCCTTACTCCGCACCATGTAAAGGTGCTAGGTCAATGAATATAATGAACATTAGTAAAGCTCTTCTCTCTTTGGTCATTACATTTTCTAATGATTAAAGGAAAAAGAAATAGAATCTCTAATGTTCTTCCCTAATGTTCTTGCTCACTCTACTTTGGAGACCCCTGCCTTAGGCTAATCATTTACTGCTGACTCTCAGTTTCTTCATCTGTAAAATGGGGATAATGTCACATAACTCATACGGTCAAGTGGATACGTGGCATGTGTAAAGGTGTGTGCACAAATACGGGCATGGGATTTAAAGGAGAAATAACATAAGATGCTATTATAATGATTACCACTCTATCACGTGGTTGCCAAGTGTACACACACGTTACTCCTAGCCTAATTTAAAAACCAAACAAAACCTCCTCTCAGTGCTCTCTCTATGGGGCTGCAAGAGCTGTAGTTTCTCACCTCCCACCTTACTCCCCAAAACAAAACAAAACAAACACAACAAAAGCGTATTAACCTTTCCAGCCTGGGAAAGCACCGGATTCTGAACACTGAGTAATCCTGTTCATTAACATGAGAATACTAATTGGAAAGACCCATTAAATCCTATCAGATAATTTTAATATCAATCTCTAAAGTTGTGGGGTTTCTTATTTGCTTTTGTTTTTTTGTTTTGTTTTTAAACAACATACAATGTACTAGACATCCGGCTAAGTGCTGAGGTTTCAAAGATGAATTGAACTTGCTCTGCGCCCTCCAGGCACTAACCATCCAGTGCAGGACACCAAACAAATAATCGCATCCAAGTGATAAGTGCTCTAATGGAGGTACACACTGGTTGCTATGGGAGCAGAGTAGGCTAAGCAGCTTCCTTTGCCTGGGGAGGGTAAGGAGGGCCCCTGGAAGGATGTTGGGCCATAGCTGAGTCTTGGAGGATGTGACTGGGAACCTGCATTTTGGTCAGAGGGAAGTATATCCAGTATGGCCCCTTAGGAACCAGCAGGTAGACCAGGTTTCTGGAGCCCAGGGGTTTGAGGAAGTCAACGAGGCTGGCAGGAATCTGTCCATTCTCAGCCTTGGATGACATGCTACGACTGAAATTTATCATAGAATGCATTGGAAATAGACAAAGGCTCTTAAGCTAGAGGGTGATACCATCACAAGGAACTGGGGTGGTATTTTGGAGGAATGACTGGTGAAACAAAATCTCTTGAGACTGTTGGTTGGGAAAAAGGAGAGAGAGGAGCGTTTACCTCCGTAGTAAATTTACTTGCTAATTCTAAACTCGTCACTAAAGTAAATGTCAGCTAATTCACTTTGTCCAAGTTTAGGTTCCATTACTGTAGACGTATTCATTCCCTAAGTGTCTGACTTGCTCCTGTTTGAAGCCAGGCAACATTTCAGCCAGCATTCCCAGTTTGCCTGGTGTGATTACAAGCTTCCTAAGGTTGTGCATGGAATTTTTCTTTATGAGGATGTTATAACCAGATATCAATTTTCAAACCCAATATCCACTCAAAACAGAACATTAACCACAGCCGACTTACATAACAAGTGACAGGGGCCATACAGACATGAAAAAGCGACTTCCATCTCTTGATGCCAAACTAGAAAGAGAAAAGCAAGTTCAGAGAACACATTATGACTCATCAAAGTCCAAAAGGAAAAGCCTCGTGAATATAGCAATCCTGTGCAGCCTCTCGGGGTCCTTTTAGCCTGCAACCATATTGGCTTTTGTGTGGATCTTCTGCGAAACAAAAGAACCCCATCATTTTCCTCCTTAACGTCAATTGTTAAGTGTTGTTTTACCTCAGAGATGAAGCTTATGCTCTACGTACGTTCTACGATCTTTTTCCGCCCCCCCGTACTGAGTGAATGCCTTTTCATTTCTCCTGAGTGTAGGCCTTATTTTCCAACATTTCTACTTGCTGCAGTGCAAGCTACAAACAAGACGATTCTTCAGAGGGAAGACCTGAAGGGAGAAGGTGGTGCTTTCTTAGACCAATACGAAGGGAAAAGGAGATGCAATATCTATATTTAAGCTCTGCTCCCAGAGATAGATTTTATTTTTCAATTCCCATAGTTGAGCATATAATGCATTGATACCAGTCCCTCCAAGTACTGCATCAAAATTTTATACGAGCCGAAGAATATACACATGTAACAAAGTGAGTGTTTTCTTCTCTACTCTTCCTCTGACAAAACACCAGGAGGAATGGCCCATCTCCTCCTTCAGTGTCTTACTGATTGTTCTCTCTTTGAAATTTGGCATGGCAGGTAAAGATGGAACCATAAGGGGATCAAAGGTACTTATGCACAAGGAAGGAAAGGTGTGAGGTTGGCATGCCAGAGAAACAAATTGGGCCTGAAAAAAAATTAAAACCTAATATTAGGTAATGTAATAAGCATTGCCATTAGGTGAAGGACCTTTTACAGACAACTGGGTTATCTGGCTATATTATTAGTTGCAATTTATGAGGCAGTTAGACGTTATACTTTTACTACATTGCTAATTTTAAGGTTTCTCACTGCTTATTTTCCAGGGAAAAGTTATCCTGGCATATCCTCAGGCAGAAAAACAAGTTCTTACAGCCGATTCTTCAGGGCATACTATATTCTATTTCTCTTCGATGTATTTTCTTTTGTTGTCCTGAGGTTCACTCTGGTATAGACAGGGAATTGTAACACTGAAGTTATGAAGCAAGTAACAAAGCCTTAGAAACTACGGGGTGGCTGGCACTGACACTCCTAACCGCCTGAACTTGGTGCCCTTGCAAACTCTACTTCCCCTAGCAGTGGACCAGCCACATAAACAGTTTTTGCCATTTCATAACCCTATGCAGCATTAGATGCACTTTCCATTGCTTCTTGTCTTCAACTTCTCCAGTGCCTAGTTCCAAGCATCCTAGAACTGCATTTCAGACCCCGTTGCTCAAAGAGTCAATTTTGCAACAGCAAAATGGTCTTAAAATAGGATTTTACTCTAGGGGGAAAATCCTCAACCAGATAGTCACAGTGCACTTTGAATGACTAATTGAAGCCATTACATTACAAAATAAGGGATACATCATTCTTTTCATAACACTACCATATAGGAACAGTTTTAATTTTAAGAGTCAAGCACTTACATTAATCTGAGTCTGAAATAATAGGCCCCTGATTTAAAATCTCCTAACATTCTTTCACACTTCATAAAACTAAAAATAAAATTGTCTCAGCAAACACTGACCTATTCCGCCAGCCAAAGAACTGTATCTCAAGGAGAACTGGAACAAGAGGTCTCAAAACTGCCAAGTGCCGGCAGTCTACTGTGTGTAGCCTTAATCGGTCTTAAATGCGAGGTGGGAGAGAAGAGCCTATGGACTGTACAGGATAAGAGATTTATTCCCCTTCTTAAATCAAAAGCAGATTCCATGCTTCAGCTGTGCCCTAACCCGCTCGCCCCGCCCCCCACGGGTTGTTTTCCCATATTTTCGTATATATTTTACTCGAAGATGACAGGTGAGGGAAGCTTCAAGCGCCGTATCTGGTCCACAAAGTAAACAGAGGGGTTAGGGTGGGCTTATTTATTTACAAGGCGTTCAGCCTCTCAGCTGTTTTTCCCCTCATTGGCATTTGGAAGCTTGCCGTCCTTTAGAAAAGAGACAGATTTGGCAGGAATGTTCTTTGTGCCCGCCTCCCTTTTTACCGGGGAGGAAAAAGGGGGACAGATTTATAATAACAACCTTGAGTGGTGGGTGGGGGGCGGGGGTGGGGAGAAAAAGTTTCAGCCGGCACGACAATGCCTGTTTTTTCTTTCATGGTCAACACCGTGCCACGAACAGTTTTGATGCCACTCGGAGCCCTCCCCCTGTCCCCTCCCTTTCCCTCTGCAGGCTCGCTCTGGCAGGCGGAGGCACAGTTAAATTCCAGCACCTTCTCCACATACCCCCAAACTACTACGCGCTATTACTACGGCTGCCCTCCCTCTCGCTGTGCCTCCTCTGCTTCCCCAGCCTCCCCGGGGGAGCCCGGCAGCGCCCCCCCCCCCCCCCCCCGCCAGGACGACGGCCGGGAGAGGGATAACGGGTGCCTAACTCCTCCAGGGCTTGGGGCTCTCTGCGTCCTGCGCAGTTTCTCTGCTCCAGGCACGAGCACGGCCCGAGAGCCGGCGCCTTGCAGACACACACGGATCCACGCATACAGTAGAGCTGTCTCGATCCACATTCTTGCACACCGCCCCCTCCTTCCCCCGAGCTCCCGGAGTCGCTGAGCGGGGCGAGTGACAGGCGCGTCCCGCCAACCCGCGCCCGGGCGGGCAGGGAGGAGCGGCGCGCGGGGCCAACCGCGGCGCGTCTTCCGGCGCCCGTGGAGGCGGCGAGGGTGGGACGCGGGGCGGAGCCCGAGTTTAGGAAGAGGAGGGGATGGCTGTCATCAATGAAGTCATATTCATAATCTAGTCCTCTCTCCCTCTGTTTCTGTACTCTGGGTGACTCAGAGAGGGAAGAGATTCAGCCAGCACACTCCTCGCGAGCAAGGTAAATATAACTTACAACTCCTTTCTCCTCTTTCCCCTCCCTCCGGCCTCCCGGCTGCAGCCGCCGCACAAACCCCTCCCGCACGGAGCCGCCTTCGCCGGGGATTATTCATTATTATCCTAATTATTATTTATTGTGCATGCACGGAGACCCAAAACAAACAGGCGGGCCAACCGCCACAACAACAAAAAAAAAAGCCCGCCTCCCCGCGGGCCTCAGGTGGAATGCTCTAACGACAGCTCCCGGGCGGCCGTGGAAGAAACGGGAAAGTTTCAACCGAACCTTGCTGTTCTAATAATAACAGTAATAATTACTACTTTGGGGAGGCGAGGGGCGGGGGGAATCCCAACAAACCACAGCCTTGACCCTAGGTAGGCAGTCAGCGATGCGCTGCCAACTCAAGGTTGCAACACACACACACACTCGGCAAGGTTGCAATCCCCCCATCCCCTTAAAGCTGGGGGAGGGGGGCGGTGGAGGGGGGGAAGGCGACAGTTCACCCCGAGCAGTCTTCCCCGGAAGAGTTGGAAGGGGAGCGGGAGAGGAGGGCGAGGAGCCCGGGCTGGCGGCCGGGCGCCAACGAACGCGGCTGCCACCCGCTTCCCGGGGACTTGTTTAAAGGGCTCCGGTTGCCGAGACGCGAGCGGATCGCGGCGGGAGAAGCCGGAGCTGGCGCGCCGTAGAGGCGGCAGCCACCGCCGCGGGGCCGGTGCGTGCCGGATCGGAGGTGTCACCTCCACTTTGCGCGTTCCCTCCGGCGGGGATGAGGACGTTGACCGGTAGGCAGGCCTTTAGGCAAAGGGGTTACCGGGGCGCTGCGCCCGGGGCTCTGCGGACGTCCCTGCCTCTGGTACCTGGCGGCCGCGCGGGCTCGGATGTTGAAGTTCGGGGTGTCCGGCCCGGGCCGCACTGCCGGGAGGGAGGGAGGAGGCCCCAAAGAAGGAGGTCGGAGGTGCCCGCCGGGCTCAGTTACCCTGCCCTCCCCCCCCCGCCCCGGGGGTTGTTTTCTTTTGCTTGGCGTCTTCCCCCAGCTTGAGCCGCGGGAACCTCGGGCGTGGGTCGCCCGCGATCGTCCGGGTGCTAGGGGCTCGTTGGGGCCCGGGAGAGCCATCGTGGCTGCGGGCCGGGAGGCCATGATCCGGATAATCCTCTCTGCCTGACTGTCACAAACAGGACCCGCGCGCACCAGGGCAGCAGTGGTGGCGTTCGCCGGAGAAGGGGAAGGGC